ATTTTATAAATATTAAAGTAGATGCACACACAAACATCAATCACTAAGATCCTGACCTCATCTGGCAAACCTAGATGATTTCTTATCTTCCAATTTCCCTCTACAAGGCCTCCACTTCAGAAGAAGGAACCTTTAACAGCCTCTCCCCAGCAGGATCATGACTAAAATCTAATAACCCCCATCATAGAAAAGGCCTATATTGTTTTCCGTTGCAGATTTCCCTCTCTGTCAAACAACTGGAGGTCTAAAGAATTTTGTTTGTTGCTCAAACATCTGCTAGTAATTCGGTGACCCCAAGAGAATTTTATCCTACAAATCATGGTAAGAGAAGATAATGTAATTTCAAGGTGAGAAAGCCTTAAGGCACTAAATACAGTAGTAAGAACTACCTGTGCTCTGCCTAGTCACTGAATTTCCTCGGATGCCTTACTCAATTCTTCAGAAGAGCAAAGATCCAGCCCCTTTCAGTAAACTGAATAACAACATCCATTATGATGATGAAGATACCTCTGCCAATTTCTGGTTATCCTCAAAAGGCTACCACAAACACATCTCAGGACAATAACAGTATTTCTCTGCTTTACTTGAGGAGGAAAATGGTGAAAAAAAAATATATGGATATTTCCTATACCTAAGATTCAAACTTGCTATTGGTTAAGTGATATTTAATGCAGTATGCTGCAACTGCAAAATGCTACTCTTTTGCTAGTTTCTTTGCCCTTTTTGAAAACAAAGATTACCAACATATTAAAACCGAAATTAAATGTTTTATATTGCTTTTTTCCATCTTCAAGCATTTACTGAAATCATAATACTGAGTGAGAATTCTTAGTTTCTTTCATACAACACAATGTGATCCAAGTCAAATAAAAATAAATACCAAAATATTCTATCACAAAGTTAAGAAATGTATAAATAAATATTTTATTAATTGCAGAAAGCATTTCTATCTGTAATCTTAAATTTTTTTCCAGAGATTAAAAAATATTGCATAATGAGGCACTGGGAAAGAAACATCTGTGATACTAAGAATTTCACCTCACGGATGACTACCAGGTACCCTCTGGGCAATGGAGCTAGATATTGGAATAGAAAGACTATAAGTCTCATTGAAATGAACTATATTAGCTTATTTGGGTAGTAATTTTATAAATATTAAAGTAGATGCACACACAAACATCAATCACTAAGATCCTGACCTCATCTGGCAAACCTAGATGATTTCTTATCTTCCAATTTCCCTCTACAAGGCCTCCACTTCAGAAGAAGGAACCTTTAACAGCCTCTCCCCAGCAGGATCATGACTAAAATCTAATAACCCCCATCATAGAAAAGGCCTATATTGTTTTCCGTTGCAGATTTCCCTCTCTGTCAAACTTTTTTTTTTTTCTCCCGGTTTTTTTGCTATAGGTTGCCTGTGCTCCCCAGCAGAGAGGAATAGAGAGAAACAGAGAGAAAGTAAAGTGAGAAATCACCCCATAGGACAGATGGCTATGTCTCCTTTCTCCTCTTAGGACTTTAGGCATGCACTTGAACTGTGATTGGTCATGTGGGAATCCAGTGCCTTAACCACTATGCCACCTGCTGGCCCCTAAGTTTGTTTTCCCCTTCAATAATGCCCTGTTACCTGATGACCATACTATCAACATTTTTAAGCTCAATGTCAAAATGTACTTGCTAGGCCACTGTTTTTATTTAACTAAAACTGGGGCCAGATGGCATGCAGCAGTAAAATGAGATGTTCTCTCAAGGAGGTTGCATCACATGAGAAGGTTCTGGGTTTGTGTCCGGAGACATCTCGGGGTACGCCCAGATCCAGCATGCACACATCTGTCATAAAGGCTGGTTGAGGGTGGATCACCTCAGGATCCTGCTGGGGATGCTGTTTCTGTATCTCACTCTCATGAAAGAAATAATCTTAAAATAAGTAAATAAATTTAAAAACCAAAAACTTGATGAAACTGCTACTGACATCATATACCAGTGAAAGAGAAACAACTCTACCCAAGCTCAAGCCTGCTTTTTATTTATTTATTTAGGTAGGTAGGTAGGTAGGTAGTTTTTGCTATAGGGTCAGTGTGTTTGCCGGAAAGAGAAACGGAAAGTGAGAAATCACCCACAGGAGGTATGACCATGCAGCAATCCCTTCTTTTCCATTCTCTTCTCAGGATTTTGGGATCTGGTGCACACAGGCACTGTGTCATACCCAGCGTGTTTTTCAAGCCACTGGGTCTGGGACTTGAACCACTCATTCAGTAACGTGGGATCCAGCCACCGCGTCTGGCCCCAGGTCTGCTTATTTACGTCTTCTCCCTTTCTACAGTAGCAGCCCCAACAGAGCTAGGACTGGTAGGTATGTACATCTCCTAAGTAACCAACACTTTTTGCTGAGCCCACAGGCTGGCTCACTAAGTTATGCAGGCATCACATCCAATAATTTCTCCACTTTTTTTTTTTTTAAAGGTTTCTGCCATAGTGCTCACCAGAGAGACAGTGAGACAGAAAGTGAGAAATCACCCTCCAGGGAGGATGGCTATGCAGCAATCCCTTTTCCATTCTCTTCCTGGGATCCAGGCAGGCAGGTACATGTGCCCAGAGTGATTTTGAAGCTGCCATGTCCGGGACTCAAACCAGAGTCAGTCATGTGGGAGTCCAACACTTTTGCCATTAGGCCACCTGCAGGTCCCCTTTTCTCCACTTTTACTAGAACAGATCGTACTACACAGTTTATAAAAGGACTTACATCTGTGTAGTGATCTTTAAAGAAAAAAAAAAACGAATACATGAAACAAAAATAAATAATCCTACCTTTTATTTCTTCTATACACATTACATTTTTCTGACAGTGTGTAATATTCTATAAAATACTGCACAAAACTTCGTTTATTGAAAAATTAGAAAAAAAATTAAGAAAAGGGAGTTCTTGAAAGGTTAAATTCTATAATGTAAAAAATACTGAAAATATTTCTGAGAAGGTTCATTATCAAATTTAATGTAACATGAACTAAACTGTGACTTTCTAAACTATGACTAACGAAAAAAATTTCTTAAAGAACTGTATTACACAAAGACTCCCTAGAAACGGAATGTGTCATTTCCTGACCTAAAGAATTCCAGGTAAATGAGATTCATCTCCCGCTTTTAAGCAATGGATTTGGTTTCAATCTCAAGCCAGTCAACCTAAGCAGAGGCAGCTGCCTGAAGTGACAAAGTTCTCAGGTCACAAACCCAGCTCAGATTCCAGCCGCGACAGGGCTGGAGCCCCTGTGGCATCGCTTACAGAGCTTCCCAGCCTGAGTCAAAACCTCCCTCCTTTCCCCGGGCTGCCTCCGGGGTGAGGTTTACCAACAAGTTCTCTGAGTGCCGGAACAAGGAGCGCTGGACTCCACCGCCTGGGGAGGCTCGGGACGTGCTTCCTCAGCTATGGCAGCAGAATCCGGCTGCCAGCGCCAAGATCCGCACACACGACCACCACCTCCCAAGTGGCTGGGGACGTGGAGAAATGAGGGCCCGAGAATGGGCTACCCAAGCGTCTAGAGGGAAGCCAAAGCCCACGAGCAGCCCAGGAAATCGCAACAGGGCCCGCCAGACCCGACGCGCCGAAAGCGATCTGCGGGTTCAGACCATGCTCCCAGTTCCGCGCGTTCAAGGGATGGGGACGGACTAAAAGTTGTGTGTCCTCGCGGCTGCGCTGCCTCCCAGGAAACCACGGCTCAGGCTTCACGCCTGGGGAGCCCTCATGGAGCCCAGCAGAGCCGGGCCCAGGAGCGTCGGCCGCAGCGCTCGGTGTTCGACGCCTGGCAGCGGACGTGGCTCTGCCCTCAAGTCCGCCAACCC